AGCCAGGAGAGTGCCCCGGCCATTGGACTTGAGGTCATGATCCAGTGCTACTGACTTTGGTGGAGCCATCCCATCGGGCAACTCCTAGCCTCTAAAGGCTTGTCCTGGCCTGCCTTGGCCAGGACGCCGCACGAGTTTCTTCCGCTGTAGAACTACCCCCGTGACACTTGTGCATCAAAGATAGATTTACTTTTATATAAGACTAGGGTTAAGTTGGAGTGCTTAAAAATAAGTGGTTATTCAAATAAATATTTATTTTAGGTCAGGATCAAGGTTTAAAATATCGATATATATTGGAAGCTTCTATCGGGGTTTTAACCGGTTTAGGGAGTGGACCCTTTGAACCGATTAAAAAAAACTAAAAAAAAACAATTGATACTGCCCAATATGTATCTATCAGCATATTGGGCATATCGAAATTTTGAATTTGATCAGGACCACATTAATAAGCACTTATTTATTTTAAGAAATAAGTTTGACTTATCTTGACCCATCATCCATGTCATTTTTAAAATACCTATATTGACCTATCTAAAATAAGTGATTTTTCATTATAAGCGATTATTAGAATAAACACGTATTTTTCAATTAAGCACTCCCATGCAAACTTAGCCTATTAGGAATAAAATAATATTGTCAAACCGTATAATGTTTATAGAGTGAAGACAAGCATTCACCTCTAATTTGCCCAGCCTCCCTACCCCATGCATGCACCCTGCTCCGCCCCCCACCAACAAGTGAACAAACCCACGCCCAGCTCATACCCCACCTTGGTTTTTCTGCCACATGTACACACGTTGAGGGCTGAACAGCTCAGCCCATCAACCTCAAACCGCCACGGTACCCCCCCCCCCCACCTGAATTGGATCAGTTCAGATTTAATGATTCAAAATTGTTATTGGATTGGATGGATTCGACCTGATCTATCTGTAATGGGTTTATAATGATTTGGGTCGAATTGAACCAATATATGTGTCTATTTATAGTAGATGAGAGTAGGAATGGCAGTGGATTGGATTTAGTTTCGACGCAATATGAATTAAAACGAATTTGAACTGGTTGGACAGTCTAACAAGACATTAAATTGGATGAGTCCAATCTAAAATATTTATCAGGTTGGATTAGACCTGATCCATCAGTAATAGACTCATGTTGAACCGGATCAAGTTGGACCAATATCTGGTCCATTGACAATCCTACCGCCCAATTAGCCCTTTACATGTCAAACGAGAGGCACCTTACGGCAGCCACTGTTTGTACTGAATTTTTAAAGCAACCAGGTTTGATAATAATATACATAGATTTAGAAGTAGTTGAATGAATGTTAATAAATAATGGTGGTGCAGCTGCAGAGAAGTATTGAATCTGAGGTGAAAGTTATTTTGGCTGGTCTTCCTTTTATAAAAATCCTGAATTGAAACTCTGTCAACATTGAGTCAAGTCTTTTGATGGCAATCAAGTCTCTAAGGGAGGCTTAGGCTGCATTTGACATTCCTTATTTTAAGAATTTATTTTCTTTTTGTAGTTAAAAAAATAGTATTCATGAAAAAGAAGATAAATCTTTAAAATAAAAATGCCAAATGCAGCCTTATACTGGGGTTCATTGATTATATTATTGCATTGTCGATCTAAGGATTTGTAAATGCATGAACCAAATGCCTTTTGTTTATATTAAACAGAATCTCAATAAGTAGCTCATTGGATACGCAGAGAGCCAAAAACTTTTCTTGGTTCGATAGGCCTCCTACTCTTTTGTTAGACATTGCGTCTGTTGAGTCTGTTCCTAGTTAATAAAAATTTATTTTTGCCCAACAAAAAAAGATAATGGGTTTCTGCCACATCTTACTAGTAGTAGTAATATTTTTATTATATTTAATGTTTAAATATTTTTATTTCATGGCAATTTCTTCATAAAGATGTTAGATTTTTTTCTTTTTCTCCATGGAGCTACACAACAAGATAGCCCATCCCCTAAACCTAGAACCCTCCAAGAAGACCTTAGCAGCAGAGATTAGCACCTTGTAGGATTCATTTTCTTCATGGAAAATAATAGTTGGTGGAAATTTAGAATTTAACTAAGTGCATTCAACACATTAAACCCAAATCTCAATCAATCATATTAAAGCCATCTTACTTTTCATTGATTCACTTTTTAGTTTTTACAAAGTGTACTTTCACAAAGATATCAATTGTTTACTTCTTTTGCTGCATGGTGCAGTGGATATACATCATAGATTTTGCAAGAAATTTATGTTATGAAAGTTTAAATTTCAACTACATTACATTCACTAACATTGGCTACACATTAAATCTAAATCTCAATCAATCATATTAAAGTCGTCTTACTGTTCCTTGATTCACTTTTTACAAAGTGTACTTTCTATTAAAAAGAACTATAAAGTAACTATAGTGCATTCAAGACATTGGTTATATGTTAAATTCATACCTCAATCAATCATGTTATGATTCATTTGATTTATAAAAATAGAGGAATTAGAGTCGAAAACTATTTGCTTTGGTGGAATCAGAATTCAATTAACATTCCTAGTGAAATGACATTCCCCAAATGAGCCTCCTCTGGAAAAGAGAATCCGTTTGAGCCTATTCTAATTCTAATTCTCATTTCATACTGAACCAAATGGGTGAAGAGAATAGATCATTCCAATTCTAATTTTTTAAGACATAAACCAAAGATATGATTAAGTAGTCTTTTTCTGCATATTGCGGTGATGCACCAAGAATTTTACCAGAAATTTATGCTATGAGAATGAATTATAACCACAAAACTCACTTATTGGGCTTGGCCATGAAATTTCACTAGGTCCCACAAAGTTTGCAGCTGAGGTGTCCCCGATAGTTTAAGGGGTGTTTTGATCCACTGAAGCGCTTCGATACCATGTCTTTGTGGTATTATATAGATTTTCCAAATCAACCTAATAAAAATCCATGAGATTCACTATATGAAGTATGATATGATGACACGACACACAGAAATATCACTGTAGTAATTTTAACTTTTCCTCTTTTTTGCCATTTAACTGACGTGTCAGTAAAATCAGGAACCGGATGAAAATGGGTTATTACTTATCCGTAGAAAATACGGTAACTGTCAGCAAATGCCATGACTGGTTTTGTGGCCTTTCGACTTTCTGGGGGAGCAGGAGAGAAACATAGGTTTGTCACTTGGCAGGGTTCTGTTGCATCACCCCATTGAAATATTTCATTCACCCATCCAAACCGTTCAATAAATGGACCCGCCTATTAACCACTTTTCAAACCAAAATGATGGTAACTTTTTGTTCTTTTTAGCAGAAACAAATGAGAGGGAGAGAGAGAATTCGACTCAAATGATATCTGATGGACGTGTACACGATGCATTGACGGCAGTGATTGCTCGGATACATATAATCGTGGTGGCCCACTAGATCTGAATAGGGGCCTCGGACGAAGATTCGAGATCAATGTTTCAGGTGTTATTGCATGTGGGGTGTATGGGAGTTCAGACGTCCAACCATGTTGCATGCTTTGCATGATAAGGGAATCTGCAGAGCACCGAGGCGAGAGCAGCAAAGGACATGAATTATGGAGAGAGAGAAAGATAGAGATGGACCAGGTGGTCACTGACTCGCTGACTCGCTCGACTCGTGGTCGTGGAATCCTCTGAGAGGCAGAAAGCCAAAAACAGCCAAATTACACCTCTGAGAAAGTGAGACGCCTTCGGTCTTCTTTGGCGGTTTATCATGATTTATGACAGACGAACGGACAACGAAACTGGACCCGTCTTACGGTCTATCATCCACTACCCTCTTCTAGTTCTGATGCATGAACATGTACGTCACTGGACCCCACCCATCTCCAGACTCCACTTGGTTCCAATCCATGGATCATCTTCCCCATCAAACACACAGACCAGCGTTGGATGACGACAGACGGTAATTTCGGTCTATAATCTTCCCTGGTGGTGGCCAAAAATAAAATGAAAATGTGCATGTATAAATAAAAATAGTAATAATAAATTAGTCCATCCGTGTCGACCGGCGAGTCGGCGACGTCGTTCTAGTTGATAATTCAGTCACTGTTGTCTTTCTCGGTTTACAGAAAGCCCCAACTTCTTCCCGTTAATTACGAACCCACCCTTAAAGTTTAATTACGAGCCCCAATTCACCAACCATGTGTACTAAATGCAACCGTAACAAAAAATGGAATTCCCAAGGGCAAAATAGTAATCGTAGGGATGAGAAATCAGTATAAGAGGAGAAGCGTGGCACCCAGCCCTAGCCTCAGAAAGAGAGAGACAGGAAATCAGATCGGCCACATTCGTTCCGGCCTGTTTTTTGTCTTGTTATCTCAGTTCCGGTTTCACGGGGAATGCAGAAAGATGGGAGGAGCTCCGACTTACTATCCTGATTTGGGAGGTCCGGCCAAGAAGATCATCGGAGGCAGGAATTGCCACCGTAAACACGTCGAAGACGGGTAGGCTTCTACCTCCGGCCTCCCCCTCCTCCGCCTCCTGCTCTTCATATTCTCCGGCGATTAATTAGATCCAAAGAGAAACTTTTTTCGTCTTTTTTTTCTGTATAGAATTTCGAATCACTTCAATGGCGGACAAGAACAGAGGAGACCAAACCTCGGTGCTTCATGGGAAGTACGAGTTGGGTCGATTCCTGGGCCATGGAACCTTCGCCAAGGTCTACCATGCCAGAAATTTGCAGACCGGGAAAAGCGTGGCGATGAAGGTTGTTGGGAAGGAAAAGGTGATCAAGGTTGGAATGATGGAACAGGTGAAGCGGGAGATTGCGGTGATGAAGATGGTGAAGCATCCCAACATCGTCGAGCTTCACGAAGTCATGGCAAGCAAGTCGAAGATCTACTTCGCCATGGAGCTCGTTCGAGGCGGTGAGCTTTTCTCCAAGGTCGCCAAGGGTCGATTGAAGGAGGACGTCGCTCGTGCTTACTTCCAACAGCTCATCTCCGCCGTCGATTTCTGCCACAGCCGCGGCGTTTACCACCGGGATCTGAAGCCCGAAAATCTCCTCCTCGACGACGAAGGGAATTTGAAGGTTACAGATTTCGGGCTCAGTGCGTTCGCCGAGCACTTGAAACAGGATGGCCTGTTGCATACGACGTGCGGAACTCCTGCGTACGTGGCGCCGGAGGTGATCGGAAAGAAGGGATACGATGGAGCGAAAGCGGATATCTGGTCATGCGGCGTCATTCTCTATGTTCTTCTTGCAGGTTTCTTGCCATTCCAGGACGACAACATAATCGCCATGTATAAGAAGATTTACCGGGGAGATTTCAAGTGTCCGCCGTGGTTCTCCTCCGAAGCTCGCCGTCTCGTTACGAAGCTACTGGACCCAAACCCCAACACTCGCATCACCATAGCTAAAATCATGGAGACGTCCTGGTTCAAGAAATCGTTGCCGACGGCGATAAGAACGAAGGAAGAGATGGAATTCGAGAGTTTCGACCGAGAGGAAAATGGCGCCAAGGAGAAGCGAACAGAGACGCTCAACGCTTTCCACATAATATCCTTGTCGGAAGGCTTCGATCTGTCGCCGTTGTTCGAGGAGAAAAGGAGGGAAGAAAAGGAGGAATTGAGATTCGCGACGACCAAACCTGCGAGCAGCGTGATCTCAAGACTGGAGGAGGTGGCGAAAGCGAAGAAATTCAACGTTAAGAAGAGCGAGTCTAGAGTGAAGTTGCAGGGACAAGAGATGGGGAGGAAAGGGAAGCTAGCGATTGCAGCGGAAATCTTCGCTATAACGCCATCGTTCCTGGTAGTGGAAGTGAAGAAAGACGGAGGAGATACTCTGGAGTACAATCAGTTCTGTAGTAAAGAGCTCCGGCCGGCGCTTAAGGACATTGTCTGGACATCGCCGGCGGAGAATCCGACGCCTGCTTGAAGAAGCAGAGTGGAGGGGGAGGGAGTTTAGGATTAATCAATGTTGTCATTTTGTTGTTAATCAAAATTAGGTAAAAGAATAGAATCTTTGTACTAATCATCTCTCCCTTGTTTTTTTTGTGTGTGTGGTTGTTTTCGTGATTTGTTTCTAGTGTGTATTTGTTTGTGCTTGCTTTGCAGAAATTACTTTCAGCTTTAAATTCTCTCTCTGTACATGTTCTTGTTGGTTTACCTTGGTTTGGAATTTGAATCATTGAATGCAAGTCTTTATTTTTCTTTCTGTGGTTGGAGTAAATACATCTCCTCAGGCTCAGGATTTCAAAATAGCTGAGAAAAGAACAGACAAGAAAGTACGTATAGAATATTTGCCTCCAGATCTCCGTTTTCATGGTGGAATCCAATTAAGCAGAAAAGAACACCAGAATGCCCCAGCAGGGTTCAGGCAAAGGTAACCAATGTCCAATGCCAATCATCCAGCTTAGCACATGGTTTTGAACTACTGATTGGGGGGTAGAAGTAGAGAGAAGAGTGTGGAATGCATGAGGGCCTTATTATTTCATTATTTCATGGGGTCTAGCTCCAGAGGAAGGGAAGAAATCATTATTTCAAAATTACAAACCCAATTGGGCTGGCTGGTTTGCTCAAGCTTAAGCATTAATGGTTCCATTAAGAACAATTACTTGGGTCTCTGTCTTTCCATATCAACTCTCTCTCTCTCTCTCTCTCTCACACACACACAATGAATTCAAAATTTTTTAACTTTCTGGACTTCTCTGATGTGGGAATCATTTCAAAATTATAAACCCAAGCTGGCTGGTTCAGTCATTTCTGCTTAAGAACAATTTCATGCGTTTGGCTCTCTTTCCAGAGGCCAACTGGCCACTCTCTCTCTCTCTCTCTCTAAAGAATTTCAAATGCATGGCATTTGGGAGGGTATCTGCTTGAAGCCTTGCACATGAGTGGGATGAATGAATCATACTTGCGTCAGTTTGTTTTTGTCGCAAGTGATCACTGAATCACTGAAAAACTCAAGAGCCCGTGCTCTCATAAAACCCCCAACACTCTATACCTACCACCCGAAAGTAGCATAGGCATTAGCCAACCGTGAAATCTCATAAACCATTTATCAACAGCTTCAACACTATTTATACATCTCCAATGACTAGTGAGACGGACAAACAAAAATGTTATTCCTGGTGAGAGAAAGAGATAGATTCGGGTTGTTTTCAATTTTTTTCTTATCAACCGGATACAGAATTAGTGAATTACCTTGCTGAGGATTTCAAATTTCCTAGTCCCAAATCCACGCAGTTCAATTCATCCTGCAGTCCATCCACTGGCTTTAAACTATTAACAACAAGTTTTTTTTTTCTTTTATATACCCCTTGATGATTTTGAAATTCTTTGTCAGATCATCCAACAATTGGACCTAGGACAAAACAAAACGCAATTTCTAATCCTTGTGTTTTGGTTTAAATCATGTGATTAAATCTTTAAATAAGTAATTTAGTAAAGTATTAAATAATTATTTACATGTATTTTATTAAATTAAGTGTGCTATCATCTTTCTTTTAGATAATAAGATATTGCTGATGACTGCTACCATTCTACCAAGTTCAGGCCTGACCAAGGAAAACCTAATTATTCTAAAAGGTCCCTTCATAAATTAGTCAAATAATGTAATTCTAGAATGTATAGCTACTAAACCAATCTAGGTTGCGTTTGAATAAGCTTCAGTTTTTGTGCTTTTAAAGCCCAAATGCACAAAGCCCCAATTTTACACATTGTGCTTTGGGGTTCAAAAGTGTATTGACTTTAGATAATAATGTTTTTAAAAAACTAGTCTTATCAAATGCACAAAACAATTTTTAACTCAATTTTGTTTACCACAGTGCAAAGCTCAAAAAGCAAAAGCTTAACCAAACGAGCCTTACTTAGTCTATAATTAAGAGACATTGATAGAAAATGCAACCTAGTACTGCTTGACACATATTAATCAGATGTGTACTTTGCTAAACTAGACAATATCTTAATGCCACAAGACAAATGATGATATGTCCTCATGCCACCAAAACTAGGGGTGGCAATATCTGACCTGTCCAGCAACCCATAGTTTCCAGAACAGTCACCACTCACCACAACTCCACAACTAGGGGTGTTGACCGGTTGCCGTCCGGCCAGTACACCGGGACCCCTGTCCCCTGCTACTTGCGTTAGGCTTGGATCTAGCCATGACAGAGGTTCTAGACCTTCACAACTGAATGATTAGAACCTTATGGGTAATTGTCAACTAGCTAGAATCAAAAATCAAAATCTCTGAATACAGGAAATTTAAGCTTTCAATATTTAAGGGCCCGTTTGGGAGGGTTTCAGTGTAAGTAGTTTGGGGCTTTCCAGGTTTCACCAAACATAGCTTCATGGCTTTTCATGTGAGACCTACCTTACAAAGCATTGCATGAAAGCCCTCCCAAACGGGCACTAAGATGGATACAAATTGACTCACAAAGTTCATATACTCCTTCCGTATGTGGACTGTGGAGGCCCATTTGGTTGGCCTGAATAGTTCTCCTTCAATCTTTACTGGAAAGAATAAATGTAGGCCTGACAATTGGGCCCAAATGGTGGACCCCAACTCTGGGTCCAGTTTGCTAATACCCATGGACTCTTCTATGTAGTAAGCTCCATCACCACTGCAATAGAAATGTCTATGCATTATTTCTTCTGTGTACCAAAAATTATATTCCAATAGACAAAAGATAAAACATTAAAATAACTAAAAAAACAGTAGGCCCATTAACACACATTCCAACTGTTGTAGAATTAAAATAAAATATAAGGCTTGGGTGGTCTGTTCTGTAACTTTGTTTGATATCTAACACTGACCCATCGAATCCTGCCAAGAGTTTTGTGGCTTGAATTGTTATAACTTGACACATTGCATTTGGTGGGGTTGGGGTTGTGCATCCTCTCAACAAGTCCAAACCTAAACCAATCACTTACTGAACAACCTGACCAGCCCAGCCCACACATCTGCTGTGTATGGTTGAATGCTTAGTCTGACTGATAATAAAGCAAGCTCGATTGGTTTTCTCATTCAGACCAAATATACAACAATCCGGCCCATTAATAGTACACAGCCCCAAGTTTGGAGCAAAAGCGGTTTTATTGCTGAGAATCATTGCATAGATTGTGGGCCCCCATATCTTAGATGGGCTGCTTTTGTCTCTAATCTATGATGCATTCAATAATCATAATCTGTAGTCTGTGAAATGTATTGATGGCAGGTTTTACCAACCATAAGCAAACTCATCACTTGACCCTTTAGACAATTCGTCTTCTGTAACTGTAATATGCTAGAGCTATAATGGGTGGGGGACTTCTGATCCCAATCGGACGGTGCAGATGCACTCTGTTATTTAAGATGGTAAGCCTCAGCTTGGAGCTCTCTGAACTCTCCCTTGATTTGGTTGTTGTTGATGTTGTCAAAAAGAGAGGCATGCCCATTCGCAGAGATAACCATGAGTTGACAGAATTTTGTGTTTTAGCTTGCATTAGGAGCCCATAGGCCATGGAAAGTTACCAAGATACATGAATCCGCCCATTTTCAATGGGCTCCACATGGCCCATTCCAATATTCTTGGTTTTGACTGTTTGGGGGCTAGAAATTGAGTGGATAAGTCTCATTGTGACAACCAAATAGGCGTTTGGTATTTTACCAAATCTCGTTGTAATATCTAAGTATGTGTTTGGTATCGTACTGATTAAGGTAAAAAGTAGTTGCAACTCTTTACCTTGTTTGGAGGGTGTTTTCTCCAATGTAGCATCTAATGAAATCTGAATAAATACAAAATATAAATAAATAAATAAAGCTTGGGAGATTGTGCAGAAATTACTTTTCTCCCAACTTCCCACGTGAAATCATTGCCTCAAAATCTTGAACAATGGCTACGATACCAAACACCACCCAAATGAGCCCATGAACAGAGTTCTGAAACGACATTAGCGTTGCTCATCATCCAAATGTTCTTGTGACAAGAAAGAACAACATACCCAAGAGACAGTTGGTATATATTAGCTGTCTTACTGTGAAGTAAGTTGTCCAGATCCTGGGCAGGATTCATGGAACCAGCCTTGGACAGTGTGGTCCATAAACTGGATCAGACCAGTAGATGGGACAGAAGAGGAGAACCAATTGATCAGGAAAACCAGGGCAAGTGGGAAGTAAAGCAAACTTGAAAAATGAAAGTTGATCAAATATTAAATCTGTACAATCATGTGCTTCTATTCTGAGCCAGATAAATGATTCAGCTTCCCCAATCACAAGACAAATTCAACCTAGTTGATCAGATATAAGTATAACCTGCCCCAGCTCCATTGCCAGAGCTATACAGAACTGAACATGTCAATGGGATTCATTTTCCATGCTCATCACTCATCACAAGGATGGGAAGTGGGAAGTGGGAAGCTTTTGGTCCAACTTGCCAACCCCATAGCTCAGAACCTCGGTTTGCCTAACTCTAGCCTAGGCTAAGCGTGGTCCTGAATCCTTGAATCCTGATTCGGATTTTCTCAGTTCCAACCTGAACCAGCATGGGCCTTGGTTTGCATGTCTTCATTCTGTCTGACGCCTCCTTGGCCCATTCTTTCAATACCTTCTCATTGTTCTTTTCGATGAGTATGATAAGAAGGGCATTAATTAATTTGTTGTCAAGTCCTGTGGATCTGAAGGCCCAATTTTCAGTTCTGTGTTAATAATGCTGAACTAGGATTCTATTCCCGGCCCATGGGCTAGGATTTGTTACACTCTATGCTCAATCTAGACCCATCTCAAATTGGCCCGAGTTACAGTATAGAAAATCTTTATGGCGCGATTCAAAGAGATGATACGCAAAGGTGTAAATGATTTAAGGTTTCAGGCTTTTAACCAGGGCTATTTCTGGGAAGGGGTTTTTTCATTTGAATATGGCCACTTATCTTAAATGATTAGGGTTGCATTTGGCATACCTTATTTTAAGGACTTATCTCCTTTTTGTAGTTAAAATGCCCTATAAACACTGAATTTTTAACAGCAAATAGAAGATAAGTCCTTAAAATTAGGAATGCCAAATGCAGCCTAAATCATTATATTTAACATATCAATGACCCTGAAAATCAATATGTATAGTCGATAGTTCGAATGTTGGTCTAAAAAACCCAGGGATCTTCATGTGGCAACTTGTTTTGAAACTGAAATATTCCTTGTGCTCCTCTATCCATTCTTTATTCCTTTATGTAAGTAAA